ATTTCTCGGTTATACCTCTCCTCTTACCTAGGAATAAAAATCTTAATAACTTCTGAAATGCTGATCTTAAAGTTTTTATCGATCAGTCATTTTCTTAATTAGATCATTTATTATTTTATAATATACTTAAATATTGTCGTATACTCCATAGCACGACAAAATATAAAAATAAGGTTAAGTTAAAAAAAAATTTATTATAATAAATTATTATTAGTATTTTATAATACACATATAAAAGAAAAACAATAAAATAAAATCCTTATGAACATATTCTGCCTCGGCCTGTTGCCGAGGGAATCCATGAAAATTCAGATAATCCATACTTAATACTCAATACTATAACCTGCTTAACTAATAATAAACAAGTCAATGTTTAAATTCATAATAATTATAAGTAAACTACATGTATATCCATTTTGCACGTATTACAATATGTATGTTGATATTTAAAAAAATGAAGTGCTAAAAAATAATTAACAATCGTAAATAAAAAAATTAATTTTGTCAATATTGTATTTATTTTACGAGTAATTGAGTGCTTTATGACAAACGGATCATTACTCTGTATACATGAAATACATTATATATCTTTAAGTGCAATATTAATAAGAACTGATGGTGAATTAAATTTTTTTCATTCTCGTTTATGAAACACGTATTAATTAAAATATTAAGTGTAGCGTTACACATTATTTAAAGTATTATTTGAATTAAAATAATTCTTATAATTAAGGTAATTGAACGTAAATTTTATTATTTTGCAAAGTAAAACCTATAAAAATGCAAAATAATTTTCATTGGACAAAACCAGATTAAGTTGTTATTTGTTTATCACGTAGACAAATTGCATGCTTAGTATTCAGCCCCGCTAAATTTCTGTAACGAAATTCATAAACTGCCTTTATGAAGTTGACAATAAATTGGTTTAGAAGCTCTTTATTTAAATTTTTATCGAATCTTTTGTTTTTTAGTCAGTTAGCTAATATTGGGTTTCTAAATAACTGTCTATATTTCAACATTTTATAATATATATTGTATCTAGACTTTTTATTTATTTATTCTCAGATGCAAGAAAAACGTTTTTGACTCGCATGAATTATTCATTATAGTGGAGTTATGACTGCTTCTCAATTAGAAGGCTGTTGTGTCATTATAAAATTATTCAAAATACATAAACATTTTTTTCCACATTGATGATTCATTATTATAATAACATTTGAGATAGTTTGAAATGTATGGATTATACCTTACAATGCATAAATACTTAGCAAATACTGTTTCCCTAACATTTTGTTTTCGACTGACAATTATAATTAATAATCTACATTTTATGCCCGGTCAATTTAGAAGTGTACTTCTGCACTTGTCTTATGTTAGTTAAGTTCATGACATTCTTCATTTTGTAGTCAATATGCTATTGGTAGAAACCAGAGTAGATTTACATGAATAATAAATAATCATAAGTAAATATTTATTAACTACCTTAGAACATACTTTGTCGTGTAAATATTAATATTTAAATATTTAATATTAAATAAGATAAATTTGTTACTTTAACTCTAAGGTTGTGTGATAAATCATGGATGTTACTTTTGAAATGTATAAATCACAATATTTAGGTCATTTGTAATTATTTATTTACAAAGGTTTTCATAAAACTTTTTAAAAAACTCAAACTTTTTTTCTCGTTTTTAAACAAATTAAAAATATTCTCTTTTATCGTTCATCGAGGGGGAATTAGATTAAATTATAATGACTCATAATTGAATTTCTAAAATGTCTATTTTTGAGAATCTCTAATTTCTACTATTATATATATATATATATATATATAGACTAAATTACTTCTTTCTGGATAACTTTTTTATTGACCTACAAACTGAAAATTTAGATATTTCAATTTTTTTAATTCCGATAGTAATTTTTATTTTCTTTAAATGTATTAGTACAATATATTTATTAATTGATGTTTAAATTGAAGTTATAAATTATATTATATATAAAAGAAATTATAATTTAATACATTTTATTAATATTTCACACATATTTTTTTATGTTTATTATCGTTGTTTATTTGAAGTAATAAAGTAATGATTGTTACTGATATTCGATGATGAAATTTTTTTTCTGATATATATATTTTCGTCTAGTGTGCCTTACCTTTCTTTAACTGTTATGTTAACGTTTTTAAGTTCCCTAAAAATGTAGATTTTTATCTAGTTGAGTGTTTTTTTAGTGTCGAATTAATCTCGTTTATAAGGTGAAGTTTATTATTTAAATCGTTTCTTCCTAACTCATATTCTTTGTAAGGTTATACTGGCATATTACACGTTGAGCAATTGAATGTATTAGTTGACTTTGATGTAAACTTATTCTTGGATCGTTACCGATCATACTTCAGAATCCTCCTACATGTGCATCGGGGGATCAAAAGATAATAGCGGCTAAGTCCTGTAAGTCTGTTGGTCATCACCGTCGTCTCTTAATGTTATTTGGCGCACTGAAAGCTTTTTCCTAACCCTCGTCACGATTTCGTTCCACGTCGTAACGGATTTACTTTGAATGTCCAACAACCTTTGTTACAAAGGGGTTTTATTTATTTTGGCTTTGCTTTTTATCAAATGGTTCAGAAACAAATTTGAGTTTAGACATTCAAAATACTAATTACGTAGTTAAAATAAAAAATTGTTTAAAATTCTAAATTTTCAAAAAAAAAAATTGAAATACTAAGTGGAAAAAATATTACTATTTATGAAAAGTATAATTATTTAAGTCTTATAGAGAAATAATTTCATGGTCTCTTAATTGTTATCTCAGTATTGACTATAAAATAAAATATTAGTCTTAAAGAAAAAAAATGATTATTCATTTTATTATCCATATTATTCATATTTTAAAATATCAAATATTTTTTTTTTACAATATTTTATCTATTGATCATTTCTTAATATGTTTGTGTCCGGAGTTTTTTAAAAGTCTTTTTTTGTCCGGAATTTAAATTTATTTAGGTCGGATAATATTCACATTTCAGTTTGGTATACTAGTATGTAAACGTATTTTCTCTCAGTCATACATATCTAAATTTGTAGAATGGACTTTATTCTTACTTTCAAATTAATTTTTTTCGTAGTAGTATTACTATTGTGTTTAATTTTAACATACTCATTAAATACATTTGGGTTCTATACTTGATTTATTATAATTTTATTTTTATCTAGTACCTTAGAGAAGTTATTTCACGTATGCATTTAATAATACATTGTTATATAAATATTTTCATTCTTCTTAATGAACGCGTTATTTCATTTTTTTTTTATCAGTAGCTCGTTTATGGTGCGGCTCGAAGAACGCGAGACTCCTCTAAAATTCATCGTGTGAATTTTTTTATTGAAAATGGTACTTTATTAAGTATGTTAAGCAAAAAAAACTTAAAAATAATAATTAAAAAAAAAAAATTTGCGGTATTTCCCCCTTCAACAATTTTCTTTAATAGGCACCTGTTGTAATTAATAACAATAAGTTTCAAAATAATAATATTTAACTTATTATTTATAATTTATTATAAATATATTATAATAAACAACAATAAAATAAATTAATTAATTTTATTGTTGAATAAATATAATTGATTTTAGTTTAACTATCAATGAAATTAAAATGACCACATACAGAATGAGGATAGGTTTTTGTTTTTTATTTATGACAAAATGTTAGTAAAAATAACTAATGTATATTAATATATTTATGTATTGTTATACCCATGTGTATTTTATTTATTAAAATTTTCATCGGTGTTAGTTACAATGTATGAAACATTTTAATGACAAGTGTAGTTTATATTTTACATAGTTTTCGAACCTCAATATTATACGCTCGATTAGATTGACATAAAACCTTCATTCAACAATTGAAGAATAATAGTGATATATTATTACGATACTCCTACATGCATTGTCAAAAATCAATAATAATAGCCAGATAAACACCATATAAAATTTAAGTAATCCAAAAAATTTCCTCAGTTCATTTTTTAAAATTTTATGGCTAGATAAAGTATAAAAACACATGACTTAGATATGGTTAAGTTCAAATGACAATTATCAGATTTTTTTTTAAATTTACTTTTCGAATTTAGTATTGTTCAACACAAAAATTTTACAAACCAAATGGATTTTGGTGAAACGTATCGTCCAAAATTTTGGGCTTTCGAGATTAAAAATTAGTAGCTACTACCGTAATTTTTAACAATGGTTTATAGATGAATTTTATACTTTCAGCCCCTCTCCTCTAAAACTTAATTGACTCGTTTCTACTCTTAACTAATGTCATGATTCTGTAAGTATTTAGTCAATTTTTTTTAAATAAATCGCGTTTGTAATTCTTTTAAACAATCCATATTAAATAGGGTGATAACAATAAAGAAATTATTTTATTTTATTTGAGGTCAACTTATTATAATAGTATCCTCAAATAACTAACGGCTTTTGTAAAATGTCTAATGGTTGTTAATAACGTTAACTGAAAGCTTTGTACGATATTCATTGTAAAATTCATTATATATTACTATAATACATTAAATTATTTTACTACTCAGTCATTTGTATTTATAAGTTATTATAAAATTTTTCTATAATAATCATGATTATTTCATCATTATCTGTAATAAATAGTTATTATTTGAACATTAAAATGTTAATGTAATTGTTTTTTATTTTTAACATTGATAATTATTTGAATGTCAATTTGATTGTCTACTGAAATTTTAACGTATAAGATTGATTATTTTTCATCGGGAGTGGTTTATAATATTATACAATTCCTTAATAATATTAAAAAAAAGGTGTTATTTGCTCCTAGGTTGACTATAATTAAGATATTAAACTGTCATCTTTCATTAGAAAATCTATTATGTCAGCTATTGTATTGTTAAAACAATAATAAGTCGGTGATAGTTGTTTATTATTATTTACGTGTTTAATCGATAAATAATTTATTTTTAGGGTCTATAATGTTTCATGTGCGACGGAGGCCGGCTGACTACCACCCTAGAAAACGGAAAAAGAAACCGACTCAAAAATGGAACCAACAGCATAGCACAAGCGAAATGTTAGAATACCGATATGAAGATGGATTAGATAGACTGCCTTTCTTTTTGGAGCTCAATGCTGGTAAGTGGTAGTTTTTATTTTAACTTAAAATTGAAAAGGGATGTTGAAAAAACCTTTTAAATAATTGTATTTATTTCATCGGTCGATGAAGCTTTACGTAAAATTGCTTTCGATTTTTAAAACTGTCAATCATTCGACTCCTAGATAATACACCTGATGGCCTTGTCCTTTATTTTATGATGTTAACTAATTTTAAAATTAATTTACTAATTTTTACAAATAAAAAAATCGACTCATTTATAAAATACTGTGTATAAGCATAAATTTCTGTTTTTAAATAGTTCTAATAATTTTTTAGTTAATTAATCTTTTTTATCAGGTTGGTTAAATTGAAAATTGTGAAAATATTTTATTTTTAGACTTCTACTTTTGTTTGTCACGCAAAGGAATATATTTTTATTATTTGAATTTCTAAATATAATTTTGATTAAGAATTGGTTTTATATCTTCAATTTAATTATTTTAATATAAACTATCATGTTTATATGTATGAATTTAAAAAATTTTCTATTTGAATAAAATAATAAGCAAAATTCATGTATTTTGTTAATTAAACAATGGTAATTGTTTTTTAAGTACACCTTTGAATTTCTTAATAGATGGCTTAGAAGTAGTAAATCCCAAACGATACCGAATACACCCTAATGTAACTGAGGTTGGCTGTGAACGTCAAAATCAGCCTCAAAGTAATGCTCAATGTTTGCAACTTAGTGGTCCAAATATACAACCTCGACATTGTGTTATTGCGCACACTGAGGGTATTGTAACTGTAACGCCATGTAGCCAAAACGCAGAGACTTATGTTAATGGACAACGAATTTTCGAAACTACAATACTTCAGGTTTTATGACTAAATACGCTAAAATATAAATATTCATACTGAAATAATTTCTTATTTTAGAATGGTTCAATTGTTAAGTTTGGTAGATTGCACAATTTTAGATTTTTAGACCCATGTTTTGATGAAAGACCTAGACCGCGTACTAATTCGTTAAAGAATGTTCAAGATTATTACGATAGGTAAGTTATCTAAAATATAATAATACTGAGTTTTTTATATTTTTATTGATATTAACAGCTTGACTTATTTTATGCATGCGCTTATATTGTTTTATTAGCTAAGTCCTTTTTTTTGTTTTTGTTTTTTTTTTTTTAACACACTTAATAGTGGGTCAGTAGATAACACTGTGGTGCATTCCTCAGTAATGCAACAAAATTTTGAGACAACTTTTGATGTTGATGGTAATATTGAAACACGTTCCACTTCTAGCCAAGGGAACAAAGATGACACTAGGTCACAGAGATCTATAACGAGTAGTCGAGATGGCAATCGGTATTTATTATGCTTTTTGTTTTAATTTATTAGTTTGATATTAAAAAGGAAAATAAAACAAGGTGTCTTAAATTATTACAATCATGTTTTATATTATTGATGTAATAGATTATCTGCTGTATATGGTCGTGCCAGTGCTCAAATAGTCGATAATATTTTACCTTGTGTTCTTGAAGTGCGTGAAGAAACTGAAGAAGCATGGATCCATGCTGTAACCATGGATGTGGATCCATCAACACTAACATTTAAACATGCTCCTGCTTACTGCCTTTATTTATTAGCAAGATATAGAGCATCTACATCATATAGACCTGATGTTACTCCAATGGAAAGAGCAAACAGACTATCATTAACTTTTGCTAAGGTTGCAACAATTCTTTATTCAATGATACAGGTAAATTTCGTTATACTAATTAAAAATAAGAATAGGCAATTAATTTTTTATAACTTTTTATAGGGAAAACAAAATGACTTGACAATGTTATCTTTTTGGCTTGCAATTGTGACTGAATTAAGACAGTTTTTGCATAGCGATCGCCATTTGTCAAACTTTTTAATGGAAACAATTGAAATGTTGCATGACACTCAACAAGCTGCTATGCGGTAAATATAAAAATAAATTCATATTTAAAGGTTAACTTAATAATTTATATATTATTTTTAAATAGTTTTATTGTGGAATGTATTCTTGAAGAACTCATGATAGCATTACCCGATCTATTTGCTGAAAATAGTGATGCAGAAAATGAACATTTGCCAGCTAATTCGGTATGATTTTTCACTATATTTTAGAATTGAATAAATGTTAAATTATGTAAAAAAATTATAAATTTTTGTTTTTTGGTTATTATTTTTTTTATGAAATTAAATTAATTTTTAGATTGTAAGCAAGTTAGGTATGATGATGACTACTCTCAGAGAAGGACGTGTGAATGCTTCCCTTACCATTCAAATTTACAATCAAGTTTTTCGTTTCATCAACTCGTGGGCATTTAATCGCCTTATTACTGCAAATGATTTAAGTTATTATACAAGAGTATGGGGTGCCCGTTTGAAATCTCGTATAGGTCGATTACAAACATGGGCTGAAAGACAAGGTTTAGAAGTTACTGCTGATTGTCAATTAGCTCTTTTTTCACAGGCAGCTGATTTACTTAATGTAACTTTTATTAAACTTTTTAATACTAGTAATGAGTTATATATATAATACTTCATATTTTATATAGGCGCCAAAATATACTGGTGAGGATTTAGCTAGTATTACATCTACATGTTTCAAACTTAATTCACTTCAATTAAAAGCATTATTAGTGAGGTATCAACCAGCCCATGATGAACCTAGGTTACCACACGAGTTAATTGACAATGTTGTTCGGGTATAATAATTTTTTTTTTAAATTAAAATATTGTTTATATTAAATTAATTATTTAATTAACATTATCTAAAGTTGTGTGTATATTTATTTATAAAATATAGGTTGCAGAAAACTTGGCAGATGAATTAGCTCGATCTGATGGCCGTGAAATAAGATTAGAAGAAGATGATGAGCTCATGATAACATTTGTTCAACCTGAGGAAGGATTTAGCTATGAAGTTGCCAGAGGAGTACCTCCAGGTTTAATTGAATTTATTCAACCACTTCAACAAGCAGGCATGTGTCGTCTTACCCTGCATCCTAATGCTTCTGGTCAATGGACCGTCTATTTTTTACCTAATGTATTATATTTAAAATCGCATTTATATTTTTTTTTTTTTATAAGTCAATAATTTAATTTTTATTTATAGGCACGGAGTCCTAGTGCTATGAGTAATAGAAGTGGAGGTTATTCTTTGCAAGCTCCTGATCCTGATATTCAAACTATTAGATTACACAAATCCAACAATGGAATGGGATTAAGTATTGTAGCTGCAAAAGTAAGTTATTATTAATTTTTTGTTTGAAAAATGTAAACCGAAGTATTTCAAATAATGAATGGTTTTTTTAAATTATGTTTTAAGGGTGCTGGTCAAGAAAGATTGGGTATTTATATTAAATCTGTTGTAAAAGGTGGTGCTGCAGATGCTGTAAGTTTATTAGAATGCTTATTTTTTCACTTAATTGAAATTGAACTACTAATATTTAAATTGTTGTTAAGGATGGAAGACTTCAAGCAGGTGATCAACTTTTGAAAGTTGATGGGCAAAGTTTAGTAGGAATTACTCAAGAAAAGTAAGTTTAATGTCATTTAATTCATTTGTGATGTTAAAGTGTTTGTTATTGTTTTTGTTTAGAGCTGCTGAATATTTAGTTCGTACTGGGCCAATTGTTACATTAGAGGTAGCCAAACAAGGTGCAATACTTCATGGACTTGCTACACTGCTATCTCAACCTTCACCTGTAATGTCAAGAGGTAAGATTCATTATAATTTACTAAAATTTGATTAACAAAACTTTTTTGTAATATAATTAATATTTATAACCGAGATGTTATGACTTGCTTTCATTGGTGATTTGCTGAATATCCACTAAAATATTTCATTACTACAACTAATATATCTTGAAAAAAATTATCTATAAGTAATAACATGCTAGAAGGTTGTAAATTGTTTATGAAATTAATTTTCTTAAATTAATAATATTCCCTAAAATATTAAAAATTAAGTGACTAAGTCTTTTGACAAATTAATTTTTAAACTATTAACTTAGCACCCCCATTATTAGCTTCCAGTGGTAGGGAAAGGCCAATATCTGATTACCAACCCCGCATGAAGGTCAATATCCCTCAAAGCAGTTTGTCAATGCATGACATTCATGAATGTAGTGATGAAGAGGTGATAACAACTTGGATGATGGAATCATTATCTCTATCAGGTGAATTGTGTGTGGATTATAGGTATTGGTGGTAGTTTTGGTGGCGGTGCTCGTAGATCAAGTATAGCGAAAGATCCTTTACAACCTCGATTTGGTTATATTCCTAAACCTCATTCTGATTACTTGTCAGTGCCAGATGTACGCAAGAAATGTTATAAGATTCCTCCAGAAAATGATTTGTGTCTATGTGAAGATATTTTTCAACAACACCAAGCAAAACTAGTCAATTGTGATGTAGAAGATGCTAATGCTGTTAAGTCCTTTAAAGTATTCCAGTTTGACTCTAATGAAAATGTTTGTCCTAGTGATAATATTGAATGTTGTTGTAATAATCACGAAAGTTCATCTAACTCATCATCTAATGACCATAAAGAACTGTATAATTTAACACCTGAAGTAGTAAAAACTGAAGAACAAATAATGGCTATATCAGATAGATTAACTACTGAAGAGCAATCCAATGTTCTTCAAGAACTCAATGACGTCATAACTGGTAACTTTTTAAATAAAGTTAGGCGTTTCAGTCGTGAAGTAACCTCAAGCAGTTCTAGTAATGAAAACTTAAATTTTCTTCCAATGCTTAACAAACGAAGTTCTTTTAGTACAGATGAGATAGTTAATTATGGAAAAGTAGCTGATCTTACACAACAGTTTTCTAGACTAGGAAAATCTGACATAATTTCACCTCGATATTGTTCTGAACCAAATTTTTCACAGAAGTTGCTTCTTGATTATGATGTTTGTACATCTTCTAGTAGTGATTATGAAGTTCATCCCATACATATGGTGTTTATAAGACCTCCAAATACTAGTGATGATAACTTAAACAACAAATTCAATAATGAAGGTATAATACTTACTGAAGTAACTAGTGATGAAAAAAACGGTAGACCAATGAATACTGCCCAAAAAAGACGACTTTCTTTTGCCAGAAAAAACTTAGCTTTTGATGGATCACTGAGTTCTGATAATGATGATGAAACAGTATCACGCTATTTACGCCTAAAAGGAGGTTGGAAAAGCATGGCTATTGATGAAATCAATAAACTTAATGGTTATAGCAAAAGTACAGATTCTGTATCAGTGTCATCTTTATATAAGTCACATAGACGATACTCTAGTGTGGATGTTTATGATCAAATGAAAAATGGGTTTTTAGACATAGCCAAAACAAAAAAAGAGTTCCATGATAGTATGTTGGCCGTAAAAGAAAGACGAAATGAGGCTATCAAAGAATATTTAGCAAATAAAGAATTACTGCTGATGAAAATGAAGTCTGCCAGTATTGGTGGTATACTTAGATGGAATCAAGAGCATCAAGATACATTGGTAGATGATGAAGATTCTCTTCGCCAGACAAGTGAAGATTCGCCATTAGTGAGTATTGTGGAGTCATCTGATGAAGAACCTAAAGATGGATTACGACGAGTTTTACATACTGGATTAAAAGGCAGGCGGATTAGAAGGTTAAGGAAGTTAGAGTCGAAAAGTAGCGGCCTTACATTAGCAGACTTCAAATGTTTTAGTATAGATGAAGTTTCGTTGTTGCACCAAACAGATTGTTCTTCTGCCGAGCCACTCAGTTGTCATATGCTGTGAGCACCTAACACTTGTCTAGACAAACCTAACTAACTCCTAGATGTTTGCTTGGTGCTTTGTATAAAATTAGTGTTTGCTTTTAAATTTAAATTCTTTACTGTAAATGAAGCTTAATCTTTTATTTTTGTGTCAAAACATATGGTAGTCTATTTTTATGGCATGTTGTAGTTAGATCAATGTATAAATTTTAAAAGTGATATAAAATATTTTATAAATATTAGAAAGTTTTATTAATAGGGGTGGTATATGATAGACAACGTCTATATTAAAGTTTTCTCAGTTATCAATATACCATAACCATCATGTACTAATGTTGGCAATAAAACTACTGTATTAGCCATTTCCATATTCATATATTTATTTTTATGTGTTTTAGTATTTATGAGAAATAATAATTTGAGTCCAGATCTAGATTTTAAGTAATTTTTTATCATCTATCTGTGTTTGTAGGACACAGATAGATTAGAATTTATGAATATGCTGTTTGTCTGGACATTGTCTCTTGTTGTGTTTTGACTAGACAGTATCCTTGAAAATAATTAAAAATTAATAAAATACTTAAAATGTACTAACCCTAATAATTATTTATAAACATATCAAATGACAGTGGCTTTGCGTGGATTTAATTTTCAGTTATTTATTTATGCAAATAATTTTTGTTTTATGAAATTAAATTATATTGCATGTACATGATTTATTTTTCAGTTTATTTAGTATTTTATTCAGTGTATTTTTGAATGAAACATTTTTTATTATAAGTTGATGGTCAATCTAATAATATCTACCTAATGAAGCAACTTTACCTGAGACACTAAATAGCTATTTTTTAAAAACTTTATTCAGAATAATAAATAGTCTAATTATTTTTAATTGATTATTTTATATGTAATTCAAAAACTAGGATTTATGTTTTTGTGTTAATTATTACTACATTTAAAATAAAATAAAATTCTAGATTTTATAATAATTTTACAAAAAAGATCTTAAGAATTTATTTGAAAATTAAATTGTAATTACTGTATATTTTTTTAAATGTTGTATTTTAAAGTTTATAGTATTTTTTAAAAATTAGAAAAATAAATCTTCATTATTTTACTATTACTAATAATAAATTTTACTGCTATACATAGTAGTGTTATTTTTTTATTTAAATAGAAAGTGTGTAATGTTGCTATTGTTGATTTCGCTTGATTTATTCTGAGTTTAATTAGATTAAATATATATTAAATACTAAATTAATACTTTTTTAACAATTAATTTAGGTCCTCGACGTATGAGCGAACGGGATCTACCATCTCGTATATTGACCGAACAACAGCAAAACATCGGCTCCAGAGGGCCACCACCTCACCATCTGTCACAAATTCAGAGTTCGAAATCAGTACCTTCTCTTCACAGTTAGTTTAAAAACCTATTAACTTAATTTTAATATTTTTCTGAATATCATAATTTTATAAGCTATGTTAATATAGCTTAATTATGAGATATTAACTATTTTATAAGTAATGCTATTGAAGTGGAACTTCGATTAACTATCACTCGTTTATCCGTCATCAAAGTTTAATGATATATTCAAATCAATATCAGTGTAGAGTCGTGATTTATGTCAACTTTATTTGTTTAAATGGTTACAACAGATGTATAAAATTCTTTTCCTTCTTTTTCCATGCCTTAATCCCAACTACTTGGGGTCGGCCACTTGACACAATCTTCCACATCTTCTACGCTTACATCAGCCGTTCTCATATCATATTCAATAACACCCCTCCATCTTTTTTTGGTCTTCCTCTACGTTCTTCCTTCAACATGCAATTCTATAAATTCTTACAGCTTCTGATTCCTCTCTCCTCATAACATTACCATACCATCGAAGTCTTTTTTATCATCGTATCCTCGATTGATGCTACACCTATACTCCCTCTTATATGTTCATTCCTTATTCTATCTTCTCTATTCACTCCACTTATCCATCTAAGTATTCTCATCTCTGCTCTACTTTCTTGTCAACTATCCAACACTCTGAACCATATCATAGCTGGTCTTACTGCTGTCTTATAGAACTTACCTTTCAGCCTAATTGGAAATCTTTTATCGCATAACACATCAGACGCTTCTCTCCACTTCAACCATCTGCACTTAAACCTGTGTCTTACATCCTTGTCAATACCGCCCTTTTTTGCACAACTGATCTTAAATACTTAAAACTTTCCACCTCTCCTATGACTTCCTCACCTTTTTTCAAGAGATGTATTAAATTAAATTATAAAATAGAAAATTATTTAATTGAGAAAATGACTGGTCAATAACAAATTTTGAACCAATATTTTGGAAATTATTCTCATTTTTATATCTAGACAAGAGGAAGAATATGACTGGGAATTTTTTAGTGATAATATAGCTCCTACTCCTCACCTTTAGACATTATTTTAAGTTGTAAATAATTTTTAAAATACTGGTTCAAAAGTCGTCACTAAGATTATTATCTAATAAATAAGCTATTTAATTATGTATGTTCCCATTTAAGAAATACTGCTTTTTTATATCACTAAGTATTTTATGGTCATACTCTTTGTCACGTTTAGGTAAAAAATGAAAATAACTTCTAAAGTACTGATCTAAAAGTTTTTATCAACCGGTCATTTTACTAATTAATTATTTTCTATTTTATAAGCTAGTTATATATATATATATTGCCATTTAAAAAAATTAATTTCACGCCCCTATAACTTATAAGGGATTATTCTAAAAAGTAATGAATAACTGTTAAAAAAGCTGATCAAGAAATGTATGTATCCAAAAAAACAAAGTTTTTTTTTTTTAATTTTGTATTTCTTTTGAGAGTAATTGAGTGATTTATAATAATCCAATCACTCTGTATATAGATAGATAAGTATAAAAATAATTAAGGTTATCTAAAATTTTGGGTTGAAAATTTCCATTTGAAATACTTTTTATGTATTTTATCTGTTTAAATATGATAATATTGTGTAGTAATTATAATATATTTGTTATGTAGGATATTGTGAGAATAAAAATTTTGTTGAAATGATAACACATTTAATTATTTGATGTTGTTTACCAGATTTGGTTATGTCTAATACCATTGTAAAAATATATATCTACCTTAATTTTGTTTTAGGCGTTGAAGGGACTAGTACAACCATACCACCTGTAGTAGGTAGACCACCAACTCAGCATGAAGTATTTAATCCCGGATACAATCGCACATCAACAACTTATAATCTTCAGCAACATAATACACTTAGATCTCGGTAATTAATTTATTAAATTATGTTTACACAATGTGTAAGTATAATAATATGTGTTTTCTTTTTTTCTTTTGCCTTTATTCCTGCTATTTGGGATTAGGCACCCATATTCTACATATAAATCATGTATAGTTTTCAATATTAAATTAATTTAATTTATTTGGATTACTATATTATTTATTATTAATTATTTTACACTCTGTTAATTAGTAGTTGGATTTATTTATCTTTTAAATTATTAGATCTAGCCAAAATCTAAATGATTCTCGTCCACAACCTCAAATGGCTCTTCGTCAACCATCTAATCCCAATCTTTTAAATGGTAATTATCATTCAGAGCGACCATCATCTGTACATCCAAATGTGTACCAACCTCAACAGCATCCAGCTTACCAACAACATATACAACAACAATTAATGATGCAACAGCAGTATAACAGTTCAACACCAGAACCAACTGGTGAACGTTTTTATCAAAATGTCAATCAATTATATAGAAACCAAGATCATAATGGATATGGACCATCAGGAAAAATGCCAAGTCCTTCTGATGAAAGGTTAAATTTGAATTGTTTGAATTATTTTATTAAATTTTCAATGTTTTAAAAATCATTTATAGGTCTTCAAATCAACCTCATAAAAGTTTTAGAGGATCACAGTCCTCATTGCAAAACCGACAAATTGCAGAACCTTCTCAACTTTACAAAGATAGACCGTCTTCTGCATATTTAAGCAATAAAGATTCATATAATATGCAAAATCAAGTAATATATTTAACTCTTACTTAAGTTTACTCATATTTTAATATTTTAACTTAAAACAGGGAATGACAATAAGATCACAATCATCAAGAGATATGTTGCGTCAAGATGCCAAACTGCAAGAAATGACTGAAGAAGTACGACGTCGTGAAATGAGATGTAGTGGAGTGATGACTCCTCAACAGCAGCATGCCACTACTCAAAAACCGCTCAATCGAAATCAACCTTATCAAGGTTATCATGATTCAAAACCTTCAGCATATCCTGTAGATCAAGTAAAACAACAAGAAGGTATTCGCTCTCCACAATATAATCAACCTATGAGAGCTACTGTCCCTGAATCTATGCCACCAACTTACAGAGAATCACCACCACCTCCTCCACCTCCTCCTACATCAACTCATCCGTTGTATCAAACAAGTCCCCTACGTAATGAACCTAATCGGTATATTGCTAGTGGTGGCGAACCTCCTAGAGGTGGTTTCTACCAAAATTCTAATGAATCATCTAAACAACAATATCAGTATCAAGGTACAAATCCATGGCAGAGAGAAGAAAAAGAAAAGGAAGCTGAACGAAGACGAGAAGCTGCTCGAATGTTCCGTGATCAACAACTAAGTGAATTAATAGCTCTTGGTCCAAATAGAACGGTGAGTCAAGAAGAACAATTAAGAGCTCTTAGGTTAGAAAAAGAATTTGAACGTAGAGCTCAAGAAGAGGGAGAAGATGAAGAGGAGGATGATCAACAAGTATGATACTTTCTTTAAACATTTTTTACACAATACATTTTTTTATTGAATTATTTTGTATCTACTTACATAAAAAAAAAAGTATATTAACAAATATTATGTTAGCGACTAAAATCATTTAATTATTATTCTAATTAAATAATTTAAACATTTGTGGTTTTAATTTAAACATAAAAATTTATTGTTAACATAATTGTGTTTTTTTTCAATAGGAAGCTAATGAAAGAGTGCAACAGCTTATGAGAAATGCTCAACAACAAAGTGATAGAAGAGGCCCAACAAATATTTCAAAAACTCCAAATAATTATAATTACATGAATGGTTCAATTAGAGGTTCACAATCAACAACACCATCTAATGGGTAAATTTTTAAACATTTTATGTGAATTTAAAATGTTAATTAATTAAAAGTCTATTAACTTGGTAATAATATATATGTGCCTATATTTTAGAGTAAGTAATGATGAAAAAGAAAGATTAAGAAGACTTAAAGAAATGAAAGCCAAACAAGTTGAAATGGAAGCCTTAAAAGAAGCAGAATTGAAACTTAAAAGAAAGGTTAGTTCTAATCAACTTATTTGAATGATGTCATTACATAGTTTAAAAATCATGCAAACATTTTTTTTTTTTTTTGTAGAAATATAATTTATAATTTATTCTCAACCATTTCAACATGCATTATATATTTTAATTATGTCACATTTAAAAATTTGTTTTTTCTTAGGATGAAGAATTAAAATATCAACAGCAACAACAGCTACTTAATCAATCCTACAATAATAATACACTACCCAACAGATATAATCGATCTGTTAATCCACCTAATCATTTACCATTAGATAATTCTGGTTATGGTTCACCTCATGGAACTTTACCATCACAAAGATTAGATAATTTAGTTGGTGGTTCTAACAATAATGATCCACCACAGCCCCCTGAACGTGGATCATCATTTGCTATTATGAGCCAAGTAGAAACTAAAACCCAGTCAAGACTTCAAAATAACATATCTACGCCAAATGGAATAACAACACCAAATGCTAATACCACTCCAAAACGTGTGTCATTCCAGGACCCTACTACAATTCCAACCTCTCCTTCACCACCACTAGAGAAAATTATTGAAGACCCAGATGTAATATAATTTTTTTAATTTAATTGATTAGTTTTGCATTTATATTAATATATTTTTTTACTATAGAATTTTATTGATCAAGCAGAGACTATGTTAGCATCCCCTCGTAGTCCAGATGTGCAATTTACTAGCTCTAACACGCCTGGAGTTATTGGTGCTCAAGAAGTTTATAGGTATGAATAATCAAATTTATTGCTATGTTATAATTTAATTGATCAATATTTACTTTTCATTGTTTAAAAGGGATCCTAGAGCACGTATTCAACATCAAAAACAAATGTCAAATAAAACTGGTAGCACTGTACCAGAAAAGCTTAGTTTTAAAGAAAAAATGAAAATGTTTGCCATGGAAACTGGAGAAGACGGTACACCTAAAGACAAAGTGAAGATATCAAAGGCTCAAAGAGAAATTGACAATTTAGGATCACCAACTACACCTGTGACTAACTAATTAATTTATTTTGACAAAGTACACACTTAGACATCCCATTAAAATTAAGTATTATTTTTTTCTTTGACAAAGATTTTTTTGAAATCTTAAAAATGTAATTTATATATTTTTATAATATAATCATTATTACATATTATGTTAAATAGATACTCTTATAATTGTGATTTATTGTAGTTAAATATAAAAACTATAGTTTATTTTCTATTATATCGTTATATTGTTGTGAGTATAGCGTTTAAATTATCGTTGAATAGTTGTATTTACTTTTTTTTTAATTTATTGCTTTGTGTTCAAAAGCATCACATAAAACTTTCCATAAACAGAGCTTCGAACAATATTACCCTCTGAACTCTATTTCTACTTTAAATAATCATTATTACATATATCATTAGTACACTTATCATATTGTGTTGTTGAAACAATCAAATTTTTCATTTTTTTTATCATATACATTTTATAAGTATTGTAAATTAATTTAGTTAATTTTTTTATTTTATTTTGTTTTGAAAAATTTATTTCGGTTTAAAAAAGTTATTTATATGTATAAATGTTTTGTTTGTACATTTTTTTTTTTTAATGAAACAAATATGTTTCTACTTTATCAAAGTATTTAATATATATTATATTTATTAATTTTTATTATTGTAATTAAATTAAATGTAAAAAAAAGTTATATGAAAAAACATATATGTATTATATTATATATTTTTTAAATATATCTTTTTTAGTATTTATTATATTTTGCACTTTTTTAATTAATTGATTATATGAACAAAGCCAATTTTTTTATGATTACTTAATACACATAATAGCACTTTTTTACAAATTAATAAATGTGTATGATTAATTTAATGAACATAAACTTAACATCAAATCAGTCTAAAAAATTTAATTAAATGCCTTTTGTTAGGTTAAATTTTCAAAGAATTATTTTTGGCTGTAACAAATTAAATTATTTAAAATTTATACATCCAAGATATGTTTCACGTCGTTTTGATTATGAAATAATATTAATTTAATTTAATTAATCTTATGAGGAAAAACTAACTTTACAAAGATACATTTATGAAAATATTCCCAATTTTAATGAAAAATGTAGCAGTGGTAACTAATATCAGCAATTACTAGTATTTTAAATATATTTATTAGTAATATGTTAGGAAACAATTTATGTAACAAACGTTAATTAAATAATAAATGAACCTATCAATTTGTTTCTTTTTTCAGTAAATCTGTTCAAAACTAAAAATTTCAAAGCCTATCTATTATATTTTTTCAACCAATTTCAATTTAAAATAGTAATATACTTAATAACCAGCAAATTAAATTATACGTGTTTTGTTTTAAAGTTTTATATAAATATTTTATATCCATTAATAAAAGATGATAAAACAGTAAAAAAAAAAGAGACCATTTTGGATGCGTTGATTTTTACAATAATAATTATTATTGTAAAAATTATTTTTTAATACTAACAATAAGTTTTTAATAAAACGGTTTAACAAAAGAAAGGTTTGTATTTTCATTGGGAATAAAATTCAATAAAGTGTTTTTAAGTACTCCATAAATTATAAAAATTTATGTGGCGAGAATAAAAAAAAAATATATAACTCTATTTTTCAATTTTATTCTAAACTATATAAATTTAAAAATAATCTCATATGTAATCAATTAAATATTTAAATATTGTTACATATATTTAAATTATGGATGGAATATTGAACTTTACTTAATATATTCTTAGCTATTCTTATTTATGAGCTTTGCTAACCCGTCATTTGAAACATTTCGGTTACAAAAATAAAATTTATTTCCGTTAAGTGAAGTTACTCATTTCCTTATTCATAAAATTATTTTTCCAAAATTTGAAAATAACTTGTAAAAAAAAAAAATGTTTTTGTTTTGTTTTAAAGTTTTATATAAATATTTTATATCCATTAATAAAAGATGATAAAACAGTAAAAAAAAAAGAGACCATTTTGGATGCGTTGATTTTTACAATAATAATTATTATTGTAAAAATTATTTTTTAATACTAACAATAAGTTTTTTATAAAACGGAAATAACTAAAGAAAGGTTTGCATTTTCATTGGGAATAAAATTCAATAAAGTGTTTTAAGTACTCCATAAATTATAAAAATTTATATGTCGAGAATAAAAAAAATACTCACTGACAACTCATGATTACTGTGTATACATTGATGATAATGTGTATACATTACAAACTTGGCATTAATACCATGATAAGAAATTAGATAAGGCAATTATTACTTATCACTCTCATTCAAAAGTATATTGAAAAGATAGCGTTTTCTTCTGTCCTTTTCTCAATACGTATTTCAATGTTTAGTACCGTAAGATAATACATGAAAATTCAAATTTTCACAAACTTCAAAACGCTACAGAATATTTACTACTGAATATTAATAAGATATTTTTTTACTAAAATTTTTCTTAAATTCTACTCTACAAAATAGCTATCTTAGATTTTTTTTTTCATTTTATTTAAAATTTAAAAATAAATAATATTTTTAATAAAATGTAAAAAAATTAATTATTGAGATATAGCTATGGACCTAACGTATAACTATTATTTAAAAAAAAAATCAGCTAAAAATATTAACTGGATCAAAAGTTATTTAAGTTGTCAATGAGTGGTGGGCCACTCTGTATAACTCTATTTTTCAATTTTATTTTAAACTATATAAATTTAAAAATAATCTCATATATAATCAATTAAATATTTAAATATTGTTACATATATTTAAATTATGGATGGAATATTGAACTTTACTTAATATATTCTTAGCTATTCTTATTTATGAGCTTTGCTAACCCGTCATTTGAAACATTTCGGTTACAAAAATAAAATTTATTTCCGTTAAGTGAAGTTACTCATTTCCTTATTCATAAAATTATTTTTCCAAAATTTGAAAATAACTTGTAAAAAAAAAAAATGAACATAAAACAGGTAATTTATAATAAACTATGTGACTAGGGGGAAAAATCTGAGAATCTAAATTTTAATTTCGTATATTAGGTAACATACAACAATTACAGGGACGTTGTATTTTATTATAATACAAAGGATATTGATTGATCTGTTAACCATTATATTTTTCTTAAAATAAATATTTTGAATAATTTCCATGGGATAACTAAACGAAAATGAAGTTCCACGACACATCAATTGTTATGGAATTAAAATTTATGATTTTATATGAAATTATTAAGTTTGATGCATAGACGTTTGTGATTAGCTTTCAACGAATAGGATTTAACGGATACAATAAACGATCAACTACAGATCTCTCGATGATGATCCCATCATAACAATCATGATCGCAAACCTTCTGTGGGATGAATGCCGTTATCAACTCATCAGCAGTGACAGATATGTGTAGAGTTCCATTTAGAGTACCGTCCTCTCTATAATCGCATTGAGACAAACCTATTTTATGAACTAGTGTTGCGTCCGGGTACAAGACATTATTAACCACAGGAACATATTCTATAATAACACCGTTTCTGAAAACGAATTCACTCACTAGACCAACACTGTCATTCTCATTTTCACCTGGCAATTCATTGCCGTTTTCTATCATCTCCAAAGGGTTTTCCATATCATCAAAGTGTTCATCAACAACTAGCTCATTAGCAAATACGTCAAACAAAACTTTTACGCGTTTAAAATCAAAAAGAACGATTGTCTTAACGTGTTAATATATTTAAACAATAAAAATGTTCATAAATTTACAATAGCAAAATATGTAGGCACCAATTCAACTCTAGGAGTGATGAAAAAACAAATGTTTTTTTCTTAAGTTTTTAATTGTTTAATAACTAAGAAAACTAAAAATATAATAGGCAGTCAGCAAAAATTTTTAAACACATCACTTACTAATTTCAAGTGGCCAAGTTATTATTTATCAATTAAAATATTCAAATAAAATAGTGTAAATTATATTATGTAAATAAAGCTGGTAGAATTTTTTGGTAGTTAAAAAAAAAAAATTATATAAATGTTAAAAAAATATTAATGAAATATTTAANTGGTAGTTAAAAAAAAAAAATTATATAAATGTTAAAAAAATATTAATGAAATATTTAATAAATGTTTTTAAAATGTGTTTTTGAATATTTTAATCACAAAATGATGACAACCCATATCTTTAATAATAATGATTTTTCCTTTGGGTGAAGTAATACTACAAATGCCGTAATTTGACTAGATGGCATTTGACCCACACCGTCTTGATTCAAACAACACTAGAGATTGGTAACCATCTAAGTTTTTGCGTCATCTCTGTTTTCTTGTCTGTATGACTACATTTCAGACAATATTTTACACCAATTTTAGTTACGAAGTCAACTATCTCTTGTTCAGGTTATTTTGCCTGCTCAACCAGAACTTCCATTACAACCCTGGTTCTAATTGGGTCATGTTATCCTCGACGGTTACTATGGAATCGTCGACCAGCCACCGATTATGACTTAAACGCAGCAAACAATAGTGTTAAAATAACATACTGTTGGTCTCATCTCCATTTGAATTTAGGACTACGAGGCAGTTTTCTGTTGAGTTTTATTTACCATATTCATTATCGGTTCAGATTTTATGACATATGAACACTTGATACCGGAATTTTATAACAAATATCTCACAAACGGCGTCATAATTTTAACTCTAAGTGATCGATCTATGTTATTTATTCAATTATTTAAACCAGTGCTCGAAATAGAAAATTTTTTGAACCGGAACGCATTTTTTTTTAATACATATAGTATGGTGTAAAAAAATACATTAGTATGTAGTATGTATATTAGGGTGGCCCTCAAAAATCGAATGTCTTTTTTTTTTACGCTACCCCTTAATTTTTTTTTAATGATCAAAAAAATGAAAAAAAATAGGTTTGTAATTAATCATTAATTAACTGTCCATAAAATAATAAATCTAATATAATTATCGTACTTGGCATAAAAAATTAAACTTCTAGAATCTTTTTTTAAACGAATATGCGTTTTCCAAAAAATAAAATGAAAATAAATAATTAAAAATCAACAAAATCAGTTATAACGTATTTTAAGACTTTTATATGTTTTTTACTGTATGTAGTGTTTTTGTGGGCTATTTATTGAGAAAACAACATTGAAGTTATTATTTTTGAATTTCTTGTAAAATTTCCTTTACTTGAGTTTTACTTTTATTATTCTAAGTTAAAAGAAAAAAAAGTTATAAGACATAGATCAGTTATTTCTATTAAATTTGACTCTTTGACTCAACTTAATAGGCCCGGGGGCACGGGTTAACCTTAACGGATCGGTCCCAAATTTTGCACAGCTCATTTTTTTGACCATTAAAAAAAAATTAAGGGGTAGCCTAAAAAAAAAAAGACATTCGATTTTTGAGGGCCACCCTAATGTATATAGTATACATACTACATACTAATGTATTTTTTTTACGAGCCAGAACACTAAAAAAATTTTTGTCGTGAACCGGAACGCAGTTCCGGTCCATTTCGAGCCCTGATTTAAACCATTCATAAAATTCTCAATTTTTATTATAGTAGACTTAATATTTATAAACACAAACTATGAGTTACCATTTTTTTTTTGTATTGCAATGTGGGCATAATTTGATAATAAGAATAATACCTAATTGTATAGCTCTGGTACGTGTCACTTGTTTTCAAAAATCTTTAATAATTTTAGCAACACCGTCAAAGATTTTCTTCAAGGGCCCGCAGTAAAAGGTGGCGTACCTTGTATTCGATTAAAGTATTAATTATGTAGGGCCAGTTTGAATATTTTTTCATCTCGATTGTCTAATATAATTAATAAAATATTGCTAGACCATTACAAATATGTAATACGGTATTTGTATCTTTAAAATCGACCTACGCGCTAAAATAGTAATTTCTAACGATTACTATAATATAATTAACTAAACAATTAAAAAAATAAGTTAACTGCTTAGATATTTTATAAATGTTTAAGTACTTATTTTCAATCTTTGTTCGATATTGTAGAAAACACATTTTTGTGATTAAACATTATAGCGTCATGACCTGTATCTTAGTCAAATATTGTATAAGCTTTAGCAATTGAATTATATCAAAATAGATCTATTTACGCAATAAAGATTATATTTTTCTATTGTATCACTATATATAGAGTAATTAATTAGGGATATAAAACTTTTTTTATCGAAAATTAATGAAAATTTTTAATTTTCGTAAAGAGAAAAATTTGTTTAAAAACCTCTACGTTAATATTTACTTAACATTTTTTTTTGTTCATTAAACTATGAACACTTATTATTATTATATTTTTTCATTAAAGATTTAACCTTATAAAATTCTGAAATTGATTTTTTTTTTTTTGGCGACATATATGTTTAACTAAATTACATATTAGGAAATTATCTAATTAAGAAAATGACGATTTGATAACAACTTTGAATGGTTGTAGGTTTTTAATACTATAATAATTCTTCACAAAATTAAGTTTTATGTAGTGAATAATCATTTATTTTTACACATTTATTAGCTCATATCATTCAATAAATGAATAAATCATAGTATCGTGTTGGTTGCAATATAAAGATAATCAAAATATCTTAATACTTGATTAAGTCTAACAGTTATGCTATAAACATAAGCGTAGCTTGAAAATTTGTTTGTGGAGGCTATTTCATATTATTAGATCATAAACTTGACGGTAAGTTTCTTTGCCCCATTACTTTATCACCCCCTCCTCAAAAAATTAAATTAATTTATGGGGGCTGAAGCCCCCACAGCCACATACTAAATACGTTAATTACCATAAATAATCGTTGTCATCAACTTGTACTCCTATTAAGGTTAATAAATAAAAAGAGTAAAAATAAAAACAACTTAATTTTTGTTCAAATCAAAAGTTATATTGCCAAATAAATAATTTTTAGTGTAATATATGTATTCATTTAAATAAATTAAAAGTTACTAAGAAAAATAATTTAATACCTAATTGAATTAACGAATTGTCTGCCTTTAAAAAGAAAATTATAACTAGAAATATTTTACAATAAATAACAAATCGACAGTATGTACTTATACGTATGACCTCTTAAAATACATTATTGCTACCTCTGGTATTCAGAAAACCTAATCTAATGATGATTTATAAAGTGTAGAGATATTTAATTACTTTTGAATAAATGTCTGTTAATGGCGTAACCAAGGGGTCTAGGGATTGAACATTGATTGGCGATGTTGGAATTTTTAGTTTTTAACTATTGTTTTGTGCTCATTCGAGTTTTCTTAAATAGCGATACAGAGAAAAAAAAATTAATACCATCGCCCCCACCGATATTATCGATTAATTATGCTACTCGTGCAATATTTTTTAAGTATATAAAATATAACTTTTATTTATAAGTTAATAGTATTCTATGTTTTATAATTTTCGAAAGAAAAATTTGTCCTATCTTCCCCTATCTCTTCTTTAAAATAGTATCGACTGAATTTTTTTAAGTGNTCCCCTATCTCTTCTTTAAAATAGTATCGACTGAATTTTTTTAAGTGGAAAAAAATTTAACTAGTTTAAATATAAGAAAATTATATATTTAAAAAATGTCTGGTCGGCTACAACTTTTAAATTAGTATTTTAAAAATAATTGTTATATTTGAAACACGCAGTGTTTCAAATAACAAAAATGTGAAAGTTTACATTGGTCTTATGAATCATTTTTATCGTTTTAAATAGTTTTAAAAAAAATGTTCTACATCCCTCATTTTAATAGATATTAGGACTTTTATATACGGCAAAGGATGAAGTGCCGTTTATATGCAAAAACCTAGAGATAAAAATAAACACATCTGATTTTCGCCATTAGTCATTATAGAAAGTTTTAATAATTTACAAAATATTGGTTTTAGATTTAGCGACCGATTATTTTCTTAGTTAGATAATTAACTTTTTAAGCTATTTTTACATAAATGATTCCACTTAAAAAACCTAAGCCGATACTATTTTAAAGGGTAGAGAAGAGGGGTAAGACCATTTTTTTTAAAATTATAGAATATAAGATATTAATAACTTCTGATAAACAATGTTATAATATGCTATATACTTTAAAAATACCACGTGAGTAACATAGTTTTACGATATGAATTAAGATTTATAATTTAATATACGAACTATTAATATTAGTCTAAGGTAGATTTATTGTTTTGTTTTATTATGAATAACTGATTAAATTTTCCCATTATTTTTTTTAATTTGTTTTTATTAGATCCATACTCGATGTATAAGTTACGACTAAGAATATTTATTACATAAATTGTATCTTCGTAGTCTGTATCTATTTTCGGTGGAAAATGATCTTTCATCTCACCAATGCCATCTATTACAGACTTAAATATTGACCAATTATACTCGTTATCTTTCTGAATTATATTTTCAGCGACTTTATTAGACTTGTCGACAATTATAAATGCTACTTTATTCAGAATTGTCAAACAATCTTTTTGGTTAAAATTACTCTGTTTATTAATCAATATTTTGTAGATAATTTCGAAATCCGAAGAGATATTTTCAAAATGTTTCTTCATGAATTTGAAAACAATTTTTGAACTTCGTATCATATTTTTAAAAACTTCTTCTTGACCATTTGCTGTATGATTCATGACGGCTAATATACTGTAATATATCAATAAAAACAAGTACTTAAACGATCGTTTTTTTATCGCGATCGTGTTACATTCAAAAGCTTTTAATGGTTGTGATATTTTAAATGTTTCAATAATTTCGTATGCATTAGATTTTATACCATTATATTCCAAAAGTTCTTTTTTCAAAAAAATTAAGTTTGGATATTCTTGATTTTCCCACGAATATTGACAAAATTCCATTAAAATTATGATGACGCCCAATGCTGTGCACATTCTCATTGTAATAAGTAATAGTTATTTTAATATTATGACAAGCTCAAATATTAATTAAACTACACGCAAAATTTTCCTTAATATTGCACTTTAAAATTATATTCTTTACTTAAACACACTATGTGTCATACTCAGACCTATACATTAAGTAAAATAAAAAACAGAAATTAAAATACAATATGTATTTATTTTATATAATATTAAATTAGTTTACACACAAATAAATATTGAAGTTTTTTTCACTACAGCCGCCAATGATGTCAGACAGTCGCGGATTGAGTTGAGTCTTTTTGTATTTACGTTAATTACATCGGAATGTTGAATAGAAAACATTTTATTAAAATTTGATACGTTTCATATTTAGAAATATCAAAATTTATAATAAAAATAATAATAAATGAATTATAATAAAAAATAATATTTTGGCTAAGTTTAATTTGAATCGAAGTTTATGATATAAATCATATTGACGATGTAAACTAGTGTTATTTTAATCCAGTAAATATAATTAAAATCAACATTCCAATATTCTTAGGTGAAAATCTACGTGCAAGTGTGAATAACTATAATAGTAATTCTAATTGAAATAACTATTCATTTTGTGTTTGTTTTTTAATACATATTAATTTACTATAAAAAAAAAAATTAATAAGATAATAACAATTCATACTAATTGTATTCATTAAAAAATATTTATTATACATACCTTTAATTGGATACTTTGTTATACTACTGTAATTTATTTCAAATAGCTAATATTTCAGAATAAATATCTATTATTTTGTGTAGTCGGTTTAAATGTAACTTGTTACTATTCAACATATTAATAAATCATATTATTTTTAGAATAATTTAAGAAGTGCGTAACTTGTATTTTTATTTCAACAACATTTTAAAACTTTTAGCTCAAACTATTTAGATGTTACCTATGAAATGAAACGTAATTTAAAGAATTTCAAAGCAATATAAAATAATTTGTTAGTTGTTAAAACAAAATTCGATTTTTATGTTATATAGAGGTTATAAAAAACATAAATTACTTGTTGGTGTGTAATATCATAATCTTTATGGTAGTTGTCATTTTTACTTTAGGTTTTTGAGGAGACCACTTTGTCTTAATTTTGAACGACAGGGCACAATTTTACTTTATATCTGCTACGACATTTAAAATGCAAGGTGATCGATTAAGGACAAAGCGCTTATTTTCTTAGAAACCATTAATATTTTTAAATTTTATTAAAACAAAAAATTATTTGATTCAAAAAACTACAATAATATGTTAGAAGTAATGTATATTTAATTCTTCCCAAGTTAAAAATCTTGATCTTTAATTTTCTTCAATGGAAATGCCTATTTTTAGTTTCATGATTTGATCGAATGAAATACTCAAACAATTTTGATTTGTTCGATTTTTGACCAATTTTTTTTGATAATTTGCTTTTTAGCATACAGTAGCCATAATTTCATAATAATATTACATAAACATGTTTTGATTATTATATCTGTTTTTCTTCAATTATCTGTCAATTCTTGTTATTATATCTGTTACTATAGCAAGAAAAACACTGATTCTAACTTGTCACCAATTGAAACAGATTATTATTGTCACCATTATTATGACAATTAAATTAAGGTGATGTGATGGTGTCACGTTACCATTATTTATTATAAATTTATATAATTTATATAATATAAATTTTTATATTATTATAATTTATTATAATAAAATACAGTCAGCTCATCCGCTTCTAGAGACTAATGAATTAATAATTAACTATTATTGCTAAATTGGCAATAGTCCAAATTATTTTAAAAACCCAAAAGACCTGGCCATCTTGGTCAGTGAACTCCAGTGCTTTGTGTCATTCATCAGTCTCATTACTCGGTTGTCGCTGTCCGGCTTACTGCATAAAGTCAAGTCTTTGTTTTTCCTTTTTCACTTACCTACTCTCGTCCTCAACATTTCAGAGTACTTGTGTCTTGCACTTTGTCTGCACCTCGTACCTAGGTGTTACTCTTATTCCCTTCCTATAACAACGGCCTTTCGACACCCACAACTAACCGGAGTGTCAGCCGAGCACGGTAACTGCTGTATGATCACACGCACGTGAATACCCAGTCAGCAGACTCTACATCAGCGTCGTATACACATACTCATCTTTATCATCATCGTCTTCTTATCTTTTATTTGTGTTACGACAGTGAATTCCTATTTTAATCTCAATTATTGAAACAATTTGAAAACACAATCATAAAAAAGGTTTATTCGAACATTATTTAACATTTTTTTTTTCTGCCGTATCCATTAAATTAAAAATAGATGATTTCATTGAAGAAAATTAAGTTTTTTAATCCTGAGGAATGGAAAAAAATTATTCAAATACATATTATTGTTAAGTGTTTTAAATCAAATAATTTTTTCTTTTAGAAAAATCGAAAATATTTAATAAAGTAAAGAATTAAATCTTCTTTTCATCTTCATCTGTGAAATTAAATTGTATATTACCATACATAAAATACGTTGAAAAATGACCACTCAAGTGGCCAGATAGTATTTTTAATATTATTAATATTATGTAACGTAATTATGTAAAGATAACCTCAGTATACTGTTTCTAATAACATTATTTTAATAATAATGTTATTTTTTAATATTGATACAGGATTATTTCCATAGTTTTGTATAATTTAATCATATTGTTATTTATTATTTGGATATAAATATATCGGATATGGGTGTGCCTATTAAAAAATTTAGTTTTAGTTTATAGTTAAATCTCATATTTTAGGTCATACGATATTAAGTAAATTTATAAATTAAATTAATTTGATTTTTTTAACTTAAGAAAAAAAAAATTCTTTTTAAGTTATATATTTTTTAATTTATTAAAATCATGTTGCTTTTTATATGCATAAATAAAAAAAATTATAAATAATCTCTAGCATTTGTTCCATTATTTTTTTATCACTATAAAAAAAAGAGATTAAAAATAATTTCTAAATAAACATTAAGCCTGAAAAACAATAAAAGTTTAGTCGAGTTAAATCCGCTCCTCGTATTATGCATCTTTTTTATACATATTCATACACTAGTGATAAGCTATCACAATTCAAAATATTTTTTGAACATGAAGTGGTTCTATTGTTGAAATACTTATTAAATGAGTATTGATAAATAGTAACGCTAAAATATCTCAAAATAATATTTTTGTAATATATCAGCTTTTAGATAAAAACTACAGAATTTATCGCAATGCCAAAACATGTTTACTGATTACGCACTGAGCTTAAATTAAGTAATATAGGATAGCAACGTTTTTTTATTTATAAAAATTATTAAACTCTATAGAGGTCAAAACTTCCAAAACATTTTTTCAATAATAATGCTCTCACAAAAAACTAAGCCTTATTTCATCAAGTTTTTCTTTAGAAAATGTTATTTTATCGACAGGTGCATTATGTTAACGATCAATAACGTTAAACATTAATTTATAAAATTATTGTTAGTATTTCTCTGAAAATGAAAAAGCTGTTTGAAAAGAAAAGATTATTGTTTTTTTATTATTACTATTATATTGAAAACATTTCTTTGAAATAATTTGCTTATCGATTAATTGAAAGACTTAGAGCATTACTACATAACAGGTAAGCATAAAAAAAATTTCACTGCGCGAGAATATCGGTTTGATACACGTGCAATACAATTTTCAGCAAAAAAATAATACATTGTATCTCTCGTATTTTTCTAAACACAATCGAACTGTACAATTACATGGTAAAAGTATTTATTTCCAAATATTTGAGCATTTCATTTAATTCGTTAAAATATAAAATGTGTTTTGTTCAATGACTTTAAAGTATATATTATCGTACATTTAGAACAACAATATTGTAATTCAAAAAAAAAATTTCCCGTTAAGTTAAAAATATTTAACGGAGTTTCTTTTGCGTGTGCTTAATAAAAGTCACTCTAAGATATTAAAATATTATTTGACTGTATTTTTTTATTTGAAATAAAAACATACAAATATAATATGTGGTAACCTATCACAAAAAAATGTGTTTTAGCTAAACAAATATATTCTCGTAACTATAACACATTTTTGAGGGGAAAATGAGCCTTATTCTGTTTTCTCCACTCTAAATATTTCATTTAACACTTGTATACAGTGGTGGCTCGTGGGTGCTGGAGGTGGAGGTGCGACCTTAAATATAATACCGTTAGTCATAGGTACAAAAAAAATGTCAAATTAAATATAATAAAATAAAACACGATACACGTATTACTATTTTAAAGGTCACAGTAGAAAATAAAATGAAAATAATAATCGTAACGATTTTACCACAGAATAAAGATTATACTATTGTAGCATCCGATAACGACAAGCAGTTAATTCTAAAAATAAATTACCTTTTATACTAATACACAAATATTTTACTGTATGGACGACGCCGTCGGTCGTCCTAATACTGCAAGTCTGTGTATGCGTACTCGCATATAATCAGGGAAACTACGATACGATATCCAAGCTACGATACGCCACAGCTTATATAATATTTTTTTTCTACTAGAGTGCTTAAAAAATTCTTTATTTACACAATCTGGACAATTATATTAGAATTTTTTAATTGATAAATAATAACTTGGCCACTTGAAATTAGTAAGTGTTGTCTTTAAATATTTTTACTGGCTGCCTATTATATTTTTAGTTTTCTTAGTTATTAAACAATTAAAAACTTAAGAAAAAAACAATTGTTTTTTCATCACTCCTAGAGTTGAATTGGTGCCTACATATTTTGCTATTGTAAATTTATGAACATTTTTATTGTTTAAATATATTAACACGTTAAGACAATCGTTCTTTTTGATTTTAAACGCGTAAAAGTTTTGTTTGACGTATTTGCTAATGAGCTAGTTGTTGATGAACACTTTGATGATATGGAAAACCCTTTGGAGATGATAGAAAACGGCAATGAATTGCCAGGTGAAAATGAGAATGACAGTGTTGGTCTAGTGAGTGAATTCGTTTTCAGAAACGGTGTTATTATAGAATATGTTCCTGTGGTTAATAATGTCTTGTACCCGGACGCAACACTAGTTCATAAAATAGGTTTGTCTCAATGCGATTATAGAGAGGACGGTACTCTAAATGGAACTCTACACATATCTGTCACTGCTGATGAGTTGATAACGGCATTCATCCCACAGAAGGTTTGCGATCATGATTGTTATGATGGGATCATCATCGAGAGATCTGTAGTTGATCGTTTATTGTATCCGTTAAATCCTATTCGTTGAAAGCTAATCACAAACGTCTATGCATCAAACTTAATAATTTCATATAAAATCATAAATTTTAATTCCATAACAATTGATGTGTCGTGGAACTTCATTTTCGTTTAGTTATCCCATGGAAATTATTCAAAATATTTATTTTAAGAAAAATATAATGGTTAACAGATCAATCAATATCCTTTGTATTATAATAAAATACAACGTCCCTGTAATTGTTGTATGTTACCTAATATACGAAATTAAAATTTAGATTCTCAGATTTTTCCCCCTAGTCACATAGTTTATTATAAATT